TTTAGTGTGGGTGGATATTGCAGTTCTTGCTGTCAGGGAGATAGAAGGCCATTGAATTTCCCATTAGTACAGAAAAACTACAGGTGCCAGTGTACTGACCTGAAAGAAAATGCTTCAAAACGAGGTATCTTTGCTTCAGTCTGCTTGCAGTCCGCCTGTGTAGCTATCATTAGAGTGATCTCTTGATAGACAGGTTTTTTTTTTGTTTTTTAATTTAATTTTATTGTTTAAAGTATTACAAATAGTAGTACATATGTCTCCTTTCTTCCCCGCATTGACTTTCCCTCGGCCTCCCCTATCCCCTGGCACATGCCCTCCCACTCCCCCCAGTGTCTTGCGTCCATTGGTTATGTTTATATGCATGCTGATAGGACAGCTTTAACTGCATTCTCTTTAAAGTCTATTTCATGATGTCCAGGGACTACAGATAAAAGCCCAAACATGTAGCATGGCTGGCAGTCAAGGCCTCCAAAACAGAAGTGCCTGCTACTGCCTCATGTCACACTCCTTCCTTTTCTTTGCACCTATGTTCAGCCAAGGTAGCGTCCTCACGTTTGTGAGCCTAGCATATGGTACTTTGCACTTTTCTCCTTCATGCACGTCATTTCCTTCACCACCAGTGAGTGCCCGGCCAGATCATCATACCTGCAGCAAACCCCTACGAATTCTTCCAAGATTCAACTCAAGCGTTACTTACCTGAGAAATCAAGGAACCTTTCATATCAAATAAAATAGTTTGCTCTGTCCTTTATGCCATATTGTGAGTTGAATACCTTGTGATATTGAATTTATTTCCATTTCATTTTCTTATACCAAATTGCATACTTCTTGAGGGCGATAACAGGGTCTCATAACAACTCTGTGAGATTTAGTATCTCACACAACTTATTCAGCGGGTACTCAATAAATAAATATAAAATGAGTGGATGATTAGGTCACCTAACCTGGCTATCTAGGAAACGTTTTACATTTTAAATAAAATTCTGACACTCGCCAACTTGCTTTGCTTGATACAACTGCTCTTTTTATTCCTTAATTTAACACTTCCATATTTGTGATTTTATTGTAGAAAATGAAAACATTGAAATCTGTTTTGTGTATGGCTCTTTTTGGAAGCATTATTATGTGTAGTGTATTTGCTTTTATCCTTAACACATTGAGAATACTGTAATTTAATGGAACAGGATGGTATAAAACAAATTTTTATATGCAGCAAGTCTCTTCTTTTAAGCACATAATTGCACAGTGTATGATGACTCCTCATTCATTCAATGGACTTGGGAGCTTATCCTTGATAGTTTCAGTGAAACTACCAGCTGCCCCTGTCCCTCGTTGTGGGCTACAGTCCGCTTTGGAAGCCTTCAGCCCTCTATCTCTTGCTTGAGTGTTGTTCTTATGCATAGTTCAAAGTAAATTTATCCGAACACAGCCTAAGCAGCTTGCATGTTAACTTCATGCTATCACTGTAGCTAGTCATGGTTTGTTTGAGGTCAGCTGAGTATTTTTCTACATGAATAACTCTGTTTCCCTGAATAACCATCAGCAGCAACTGTTTTGTGCTTGCCTTGCAGGTACTACAGTGCAACCATCCTGCAGATGTCTGGCGTTGAAGATGACAGACTCGCAATATGGCTGGCTTCAGTTACAGCCTTCACAAATTTCATTTTCACACTCGTGGGAGTCTGGCTCGTTGAGAAAGTGGGCCGCAGAAAGCTTACCTTCGGAAGTTTAGCAGGTAGGTGCCTGGATGAGGATTCAGTTATTACATTTCCTCTAATGACAACAAGTTAACCTTCCAAAGTACAATACCAGTAGCATTTTGGATACTGTTTCTAGCTAAACAATAGAGTAATTCTAGACAAAAAAGTTGTTTTTTTTTAAAAGAGAACTTAGTGAATTTTATGATATATAATTAGAAACTAGAATGTACGTAATAACCAGAACTGTAAGAACAATTTAAATCTACTGCGGGGACCATTTTGCTGTTATTTTGAGTTCTGCTCAGCAGGTACAAAAGTGACAAAAATAATCGCATTTTGCTCTTCCTTGGTTGAAAACCTTGGTATTCATGAACTCACTTTTTAACAATGGTGTTTTGTTTTTCTTTTCTAAATTTTGGAATAATATGAAAGTACATTTGGAGCATGTCACTTCTAAGCTCTTTCAACAGTAAATTCTGGTTCGTGAAGTTTGTTTTCTATGATAGCTAAGTAGGACAAAACCTTTCTCACTTTCAAGTATCCTTTGATTTTAAATTCTGCCCATTTCATTTATTATTTCTCTGTAATGCGAGGTCTGTTTGAGCTGACAGATGGGACCCATTTTTGCCATGGTCTTCACATGGTTGCATAATATAATCTTTTCCATGTATACATGTGTATTCCTGCTTCTCTATTAGCTATCATCATCTGGTCCCTTCATACATTTACCTAGAGTAAGAATACATTTTCTCATTCAAATGTAAAGTTTCCAGGCCAGCATTAAATTTTTTTGTAACCAGATACGTATACCTCAAGCATTAATCTAATGGAACTGCTTCAGGCCTTGTTCCAGATTTGATGAGAAAATACATTCCTAGTTTCATACTTAGAACACATACTCTTTCCTACCCTCACCCCAGAAAAGGGTGTGGAGTGCATTCACCCTCTGTGCAACCAATAATGTAGGTTGAACTATAGTATCAGCTGAGGGGAAGGAGAGGAAAAGACTGACTGAGAAACAAAGGAATCACAACAGCCATGGTACGTAGGGAATGGAGGGGAAGTGAGGAAAGGTGAGGGACAAGTGAAGGTTTAAAAAACCATCTCTCTCTATATAAAAGCCTAAACGAACGGAACAACTGAACAACCAGAACGACCGGTCAACCAGTCACTATGATGTGCACTGACCACCAGTGGGCAGACACTCAACGCAGGAGCTTCCCCTGGCGGTCAGTGCGCTGCCACAGCCAACCTCCCGTGGCCAGCCCCCTAGATAGGCCTTGATTGCTGGCCAGGCCGAGGGACCCCACCCGTGCATAAATTCATGCACTGGGCCTCTAGTATATTTATAAACCTGTTGAAGAAGCCAGAAGTGTTTGCCTAGAAAAAAGGTCTAAAGGGAGAGCTAATAATCTTATTCTAGCAGATGGTCTAGGGGACATAGATTTGTACTTAATATAAGAAAAATATTTCTAATATTCTGAGCTATCCAACAATGAATTTGGCTGCTTCCTTAGGATGGTAAACTGAAAAAAAAAAAAGGAAAGAAAAAGGATAGTACCATCAGGTAGTGATGTGCTAAAAATACATTTCTACGGTTGGTTGGAAATTGGATTTGCTAACCCCTGAGGCTCAGATCAACTCTAAGAAGAGATAACAACCACTTTAAAAGTTTCTAAATGGATACCCTTCCTTTGGACCCGGCCTCCATACACTGCTCCCTTAAGAGGTCTGTTTTTAAATAGAATTTCAGGTTTTCTTAAACTTGGGAATTGGCTTTTGATATCTGAGGAAACTGCTGATTTCAAGATCCGTAGAAACTATTCTTTCGTAGCAGCCTCTGTCCCTTCACTTGTATTCCAGTGAGAGACTTCTCATCAGTTCTGCAGTCGGCTGAGGTGCTGTGGAGCCAGACTGTTTGGGTTTGAATGGGGTGACTTTGAGCAGGTTTCCATCTCCTCATTTGTAAACAGGATTAACCGCATTCCCTGCTTCACAGGATTGTATTGAGGCGTGAACACACCTGTACACGCGTAGCATGGAAAGCACTCCTGACAGAGGGAAGTGCCCCGAGCAGCTTGGCTCTCAGAGCATTTAGCACTGCCCACCAGGGAGTCTCTGTTGCTGTAACTATGTGAGATCAGTTTGCAGTGTCAGAGTGCAGGGGCTTCCCTGACCTCCTCCAGCTGGTGTCACCTTTCACCGCTCAGTGTGGGTCCTCTGCCCCCAAGGAAGGTCACACTGTTCAGAGGGAGCATTAAGACAGTTATTTGGCCCTGGCCTGTTTGGCTCAGTGGATAGAGCATCGGCTCATGGACTGAGGGGTCCCAGGTTTGATTCCAGTCAAGGGCACGTCCCTCGGTTGCAGGCTGGATGAGATGCCTGCAGGAAGCAACCAGTTGATGTGTCTCTCTCTCATCCATGTTTCTCTTTGTCTCTCCCGCACCCTTCCTTCCACTCTCTCTAAAATCAATGGGAAAATATCCTTGGGTGAGAATCAACCCTCATCCAAAAGACAGTTATTTGGTGGGGAGACCAAGAGATTTCTCATGAGCAACCTGTAGGCACCTTTCTTTCTTGCCATGTTCTCTTTTCAGCCAACAACATCAATATCCCAGCTCCATCCATGACCAAGCCTAACAGTGATGCCTCCTGCTTGAGACAGCTCTTCCATGGCGTGGGCACCTGATTTCCTTGTGCTGTGGCCAATCAAAGTGATGATGTAGCCGCGGAGAGGTCAATGGGGGGGGAAAGGAGACATATGTAATACTTTAAACAATAAAATAATTTAATTTAAAAAAAATAAAAAATAATGATGTAGAAATTGCAGTGGTTTAGGAGGTAAAGGGCCTGGGTTTTTGTCACAGGTCTCCTCTTTACCTGCACATATAGATGAAAATAGTGCTGTTTTTGCAGTTCTGGTTTTTAACTGTGATTAAATAGGCCCCCCTAGAACATAATGACCAATGGAACTTTACACTCTTCGGAAGAAAAGTCACTGCTAAACAGCCGCTAGTATACAGTCATCTCGGTATCTGCCAGGGATTGGTCCAGGACCCCCTCAGATGCTGAAATCCTTAGATGCTAAGTCCCTACGTTAAATGGTGTAGTATTTGGGTCTGGCCTACGCACATCCTCCCGTATACTTTACCATAAATCATCTCTATATTATTCATAATACCTGATACAGTGTAAACACAACACAAGCAGTTGTTATACCGTATTGTTTAGGGAATAATGACAAGAAAAAAGTCTGTACACATGTTCAGTTGTGCCTAACTACATAGTACACATCAGCCAGAATGTAACTTTTTTTCTTCAAATATTTTCAATCCTTGTTTGGTTGAATCCATGGATTTGGAATGCATGGATACAGAGGGTCGACTGTTACATTACTCCACTGAGACCCACAAAATAGATGTTTATTTCACTTTCTGATGGCAGTTGATTCTGGAGTTGTTATTTTTACTTCAATGCATTTGTTTTATTCATTTGTCTGTAGGTATATTTTTTATATTCTAATAGAGCTAAGTACTAGAACACTGTTCTATTTTAAATTTCTTAAATTAGCTTAGAATTTTTAAACCTTTGATTCATTTTTGCCCCTTATTTTGGGTTTTTATAACTTTTTATTATATTGTGTTAAAAATAGTAGGACAGCTTATATCAAAATAATTTTTGAATAGGTACTCACTCTTTAAAAATAAGTGCAAATAAACTACTTAGCAAAGAAACTCTTTATACAAAGAAATATAAAACATACAGTCCAAGTCCATGAATAATTTTAAATGTAGGACATTTTGTGGTGTTCTGACTTTCACTATTTTCAAGGCTTGCTCAGAGAACTAGTCTTTCTTGTAAATATTACAAACCTCATGACCACCTCTTGATTCTTTTAATAGAAGGTTTATATCTATGTAACTTAATTGCTTATAAATAGGAAAGCCAGAGCACTGTGCTATTTCCCCCCAGATATTTTGGTAGCGGAATATTTCTGAAAGTGTCACTCACAGGCGGTCTCCACCAGAATTATCACGGGTACTGCTTTTGAAAGGGGGATTCTTGTGCCCTAGCCCAGATCTACGAAATTAGAATCTCTGAAGGTGGGTCTGCAGCATGTGCACTTGAACAGGCTTGCCAGGTGATACTTATGCACAGAAAGTGTGCTGTATCAGAGTGGTGAGAAGGGGCATAATTTTTTAAGTGTTACCAATCTAAGCTCTGTACCTGGTAGTTGCTGTTACTTGTTACCTCAGGTCTTTTTGAGAATGCTATTTATCCAGCACACTTCACTTCCTGTGGGAGCATGGTTAGGTAGATAGTAACTTAGAGCAATGGTTCTCAACCTGTGGGTCGCGATCCCTTTGGCGGTCGAACGACCCTTTCACAGGGGTTGCCTAAGACCATCCTGCATATCAGATATTTACATTACGATTCATAACAGTAGCAACATTACAGTTACGAAGTAGCAACGAAAATAATTTTATGGCTGGGTCACAACATGAGGAACTGTATTTAAAGGGCCAGAAGGTTGAGAACCACTGACTTAGAGGGATCAGGAAGGTTTTGATCATAACTTGCTGTCAGTGAGCTATACTACAATAATAAGTATTTTTCTTTAAAACTTAATAGTTGATATCAGGAAACCTATTTCATTACGTAAATCACTAAAAACCTGGTCATTCCTTTCCTGTATCAGAAGTTCATAAAACTTTTTTTTTCATACTCCCTGGCTGACTTTCTGCCCTTAGGCGACCTAACAGTGGATCAGTCTTATTCTAACTCTAATTCTCTACATCTAAATCAATCATCATATCTAGAGAGTATTTTTTTTATCAAACAGCAATTTTTGTTAATAATTTGTTTGCAGTACTGTGTTAAAAAACATTAATAGTTATCAAGAAAAATGAAACTAAAGCATGGCCCTTTCTGTTTATTCTCATGAAGGCTGGAACAGTAGGCAGAAATTAGAAAACTTTCTTATTTACCATCAGATGTCTCTCAAAAATGAGCCTTTTAAGTGATACACATAATCACCATTCCCAGGCCTTAAAATAAAAAAAAAACAAATATTCTACTTGAAAGCATCAGTAGCAAAGAGAAGTGAACATGTGTGTTATAATATCATTTCTGACATCTTAAAGTCTTCAAAGAATGCTACTTTTCCTTAATAAAAAATGCTATTTCAAATGCTCTTAAAATATTCAGTTTATTACTTTTTAGCCTACTGATTTGGGTCTTATGATCAAATGCCATTAGAACAATTTTCTCCGCAATGAAAGTAACACTGTGAAAATCTGTTGCCTTTCATAGTTCCTGACGTGTCAGGCACTCAATAATGTTGGTTACACTAATGGATTTTGAGACTCTAAGCAATGAAAGCTGTGGGGTGTTTTGTGTTTTTTAATGTTTTGTTTTGTTTTGTTTTCGGTTCTTGTTGTTTTGGGTTTTTTTTTTTATAAAATCATTACCAATCTACTCCTTGGCTAGCAAATGTATCATGTCTCACAATGGACGTGCTAATGAGTTTACTGATAATTTGTTCTTAGGAGCACTTTTTTAATACAATGAAGAAAGATCAAGGTACTTTTTTAGAGATATGTCTTGTCAAACTCAGTCTGCTTTGGAAGAATGTTGTCAGCTATTCTCTAATGCAAAACTTTTTTTTTTTTTTTTTTTTTAGGTACCACCATAGCACTCATTATTCTTGCTTTGGGATTTCTGCTATCGGCCCAGGTTTCCCCACGCATCACTTTTAAACCAATAGCTCCATCAGGTCAGAATGCTACTTGCACAAGATACAGGTGAGACTCTGTGATGATTCCCTTTCTTAAGCTAACTCTGAAAACTTGTTTGTTTGCTTTTGCTTTTCTAAAATTTGAGAGATGAGTAGAAACATGCTTATGGGGAAGGTAGAAAGTGGAAAAGTTGGTAGGAAGGGACCACCAGGAAAAGGAACAGTACATGTAAAGATCTGAAGGTAAAAGTGTTTAAGGAAAAGTGAGTTGTTAGACACAATTTTGGTGATTTTTGGGGGGTGAAGTAAAGTAGGGATTGATACAGAATCTAAGCAGGAATACTGGGAAACTGTTTGGGGTCATATGTGACTCAGTGACATCTACATTTTAATCAGTAATTAAACTTTACCATGATGTACATGTCTCTTATAGTTGATTACTATCTGGATATTCTAACAGTCTTCACCGAGTTCCACAGGCATCCCCTGATTCATTTAAGCAGAAAAGAAAGTTTTCTCTCACTACTGGGGTTCTTCCTGAGGATTAGAAGGTGAAAAGAGAATGGTAGAAGAGAGTGAAATGTGTACTAATGGCCAACTACAGGTTTAAGAGCTCATTAAGTCTATTGGTGTACACACTATGTGATAAATGGATGCAGAAATGGATCGATGGTCAAATAGACTGAAGAATGAAAAAATGAGTGAATTAAAGACTGAATGATTGAACGGGTCAGTTAATATATTTGGCAGCAGAGTTTCAAAGTTTTTTGTTGTTGTTGTTTTACCTCATTTTAGTGGTTGAAAAGGCTAGCAACGCCTTTGAAACACATGGCTAGAACAAGGCCTCGCTTTAAAAAAAATATTTCACCCTGGTGGGTAGCCTGGCTTTTTGGAGCATTGTCCCATATACCAAAAGCTTATGGCTTTGAATCCATTCAGGGTACATAGCTAGGTTGTGGGTTCAATCCATGTTTGGGGCACATGCTGGAGGCAACTGATAGATGTTTCTCTCTCACAGTCAATGTTTCTCTCTCTTCTCTCTCTCTCTCTGTCTCTCTCTTCCCATCCCTCTCTTTCCTCTCCTCTTTCTTTAAAATCAATAAAAAATTCCTCAAGTGAGGATTAAATATATATATTTCTTCAGCCTCAACAAGATGGACACAACTCTCAAAATCAATGGGTAAATTATTGTATTAATTAATTTATTAATAATGAGTAAATGGTCTATTAATTTTTAGTCAGCCAGAGAGTATTAAAAAAAGTTTTATGAATTTCTGATACAGGAAAGAAACTACGTTTTTAATGATTTACATAATGATATCATGTTTTCTGATAACAATTTTTAAAGTTTAAATAAAAATATGTATTTTCATAAGATAGCTCATTGCACAGCAATTTATGATTATCAATCTATTAACCTTCCTGATCCCTCTAAGTTATCACCTACCAATATGTCAGTGTATAACTGGAATGAAGTGAGAAATGTTCTAGTCTTATTTTATCCTGATAAAAAAAAGTGAGAAGCTATTTTTTAAAAACAGGACCAATTTTTAGATGTCCTTTAGAAGTCATCAAGTATAAAAAACGATGATTTTTGGTGTGCCTTTTTTCAGAGTAACATACTAGTCTTTGTGGGAATTTGACAGTATGTATTTACAGCCTGAGTGACTTTATAAAATATGTCTGCAGTCTTTGGACTGATTGTATTATTAAATCATGTTGAGTCATGTTTGTGGGACCATAAAATGAGAAATAGTTATGCTATAAATGTAGGTGTTATGTTCTCCCCCCGACCCCCCGGAATGATCCATATAGGAAAATTGAGCAAATGAAACATTTAAAAGTGAGAGTGTGCTTAATATCTATCTTAAGAACATTATATATTATAGGTAGATATGTGAATTTTTCTCTGTTTTGGAAGGTAATATAGTTCTGCCTAATAAAAGTGATGAAATTCCTGTGCTCATTGACTCAGCACTTCCACTGGTGAAAACCTATAGACTGTAGTGATGAGTTGTGTAATTCATTCTGTCTAGAATAGATTAGACTTTAGATAGAAGCTTGAATGCTTCAGAAACAATGGTTCTCCTTTATTTTAAGTCAATAAATACACATGGTGTAGCAGGCGCTGTTGTAGGTTATGGCCAAAAGTTTTGTAGGTTGGGACTCACTCAAGTCTTTGAACCCAAGAGACTGACTATCCTAAATAATTTCCATTGAGAATTTCCCCTTTTTAGAATGTTTTAATTTTCTAATTGATATTTTATTCCAAGGCCTGGTTAGATTTTTGTGAACTGAGGTATTCAAGACTATCATTCAGATGTGCTTTTTAGCAGATAAAACTGCATAGAGCTGAACATGGATGCAAGTTGCTGTAGAATAGAAACTGTGCAGCCACCTGAATAAAAGTTGTCACCAGGTACCAGCTGTGACTAGGAGAAATAACCCCAGTATGGGTATCATCTGAGTCATGTATCTGAATGAGAAAACACACATATACTCCTAATATGGCTTTCAGCTCCACGTTCTCAAATTGCTGTTGTACTATCCCTTTTTTATTCAGTTAAACATATTTTCTAATGAGAGGATTCAAACTTTTCATAACACTTCCCTCAAATTTTTTACATTATTTACAAGTGTGGTCTCAGTATATGCAAATCACTACCACAGAACTCTTCAAAGTAGACATATATTTCCTAAAGAATATAATTATAGAATTTCACCTTGCCCTAGGGCAGTGATAGCGAACCTTTTGAGCTTGGCGTGTCAGCATTTTGAAAAACCCTAACTTAACTCTGGTGCCGTGTCACATTTAGAAATTTTTTGATATTTACAACCAAAGTAAAACAAAGACTTATATGTTTGATATTTATTTTATATATTTAAATGCCATTTAACAAAGAAAAATCAACCAAAAAAATGAGTGTCATAGGTTTGCCATCACTGCCCTAGGGTTTTCATCACATCTTATTCATTCATTGATTCAAGTGCGGATGGGTGCAATTAAAATTATTTACCGAGCATCTACACATAGGATTATAGTAAGGATACATTATTATATCAAAAGCACCTAAAACAATGTTTGGGTATATAATCACACAATAAATATTATAGTCATTGTTGTTTTTAACAAAGACTATAATAGGAGATGAGAATGGGATGATGGGTAATCTCTCAGAGAAATTATCCTAAACATGGGATGTTTGAAATGAACTCTGAAACAGGGAGAGGAACATGCCAGACAGAAGAAAAATCAGATGCAAAGACCGTAGGAACTTGCCAAGAGCAGGGAACTGAAAGGAAGCTAATATGGTTTGAAAAGAATAGAGAAGGCTGGTAAAACCGGAGCCAGGATCTGTAGAACCTCAGAGATCATCTCAGAGATTCTGATCTTCAGTCTAGGAACATGATCCCCTTGAGGGGTTTTAAGCAGGGGAGTGACATGATCAGAGGTCGATTCCAAACTTTTCCTCTGACCCTGGGTGGAGGTGGACCTGCAAAGCCTCCTCAATGACAGCATCCCGTATTCAGATCTTGTGTTTTCTACCCATGCTCTCACAGCTGAATAAAGCCCACCCTGACTTTGAGGGGAATCGTTTATAAAAAGAGCAGTGCCTGAGCTTGTCACGATTAGAGATGACTCTCTTCACCTTTCTAAGCTTACCTTTCATTCTTTCAAAAAAGAAGTTACAAGTTTTGGGACACTGACCAATAAACTAGTCATGGAGGTAGTATACTGCAACCGTTGTTCTCTTTAGGTATCACTCACTGGTTCCGCCTTCCACTGACGAGGAGAGATTTCTTATTTTCCAAAAAGTGTGTCTATCTGGACCCACACAGAGGGAGCTGAGTAGACACAGAGCAGCTGCCTATAACTCAGTGTTTCTTTGTGCGCAAACGAGGCAATTGCTTCCAGTGGGGAAGCTAATCTGACCCTTTTGTTAACCCTATGAGAAAATGATTGGCAGTGCAGTAGTCAGACTTGGGTTTATTATCTTCCTTGAGGCACATTCAGTGAGGAAGTTTCTTTTTTCTCAAAAGCAGCGATAAAAAAGACAATAATTTCTTGACACAGATTTTTCACAGGAAATGTATACCATCCTAACTTCTATTTATTGCTCTGTGGAAAGTACATGTGGATTTTCGTCTTCTTTGGGAGCCGTTGATTCTAGTCATAGTTGTATCATGATGCAAACAGGACTAGAGGGAAATATGATCAGAATAGCTCAGAACAATTCCAGAGACTGATTCATTTTTATATCTCCCCCATGGAATAAGTTACTTCTCACAAAAACACTAACCCACATGATTGAATGATCAAAACATTATTATTTAGCTCTGGCTGATGTGGCTCTGTTGGTTGAGTCCTCCTATGCACTGGAAGTTGCCGGTTCGATTCCAGGTCAGGGCACATTCCTAGGCTGTGGGTTGGATCCCTGGTACATATGGGAGGCAAAAACCAATTGATATTTCTCTCTCATCTCTCTCTCTCTCTCTCTCTCTCTCTCTCTCTCTCTCTCTCTCTCTCTTCCCTCTGCCCCCCTCTCTCCCTTTCTTCCTTTTTTCCTTCTCTTTCTTTCCCTTCCTTTCTCTCTAAAATCAATTATAAACAAACAAACACTGTTATTTAGCCCTGGCCAACATCGATGCTTCTCTCTCCCTCTGTCTAAACATATCCTCAGGTGAAGACATAGAATATATGTATATTGGATATCCCTAATAAAAGTCCTTTTCAATAAAATTTTTCAAAAAGCACTATTATTTACCAAGCTACTTATTTTGTACAAACTTTCTGTTTTAACCATCTTGTGCATCTTATCCTAGCCAAAGCCACATACACATGTTGTAGTACTTTCTAAGTCATAGCCCCCTCCCCCAATTGAAAACAGATTCTATAACATCTTCCCCATATTCTATTGTTCCGAGATGACAAGGGATAAAAGATATATAAGACATAGTTCCCATCCTCAGGGAAATTGCAGTTTGTGGAAGAAAAAGATGTTTTACACAATTGTCTGTAATCTGTATTTTAACTCAAGGGTAAAGGATATTGTTCTTGTTCTTTTTTTTATTCTTGACACA